TGAAAATTAGATCATTTTCAGCCAGAGCCTAATACTTTCTAGCTCTCACCTCAATTCCCACACATTGATAAGATTTACATTGCAATGGGGAACATTCCTAGAGTTTTTTGTAGACTTGTATCAGATTACATGTTATTGCATATTGGTGATTTCAAGTATCACTTATTAAAATCTATCTTTTTGACTAAACTCTTGGTCACTTGTCCTAATTTCTCTTTTTCTGTCTTTGTGTCAATTTTTGCTTCAGAGCATTCCTCTGAAGCTCCTTGGGATGGTTGTGCTGGGTTACAAGTACCAATAGCAATCGTTTGTGGTCGTGGGACAGGAGAACTGATATACAGTTACTCCTTCAGCGAAATGCTAGCAAGATGCTAGAAATCTGTTTTTTTTTAAAAGAAAACGCTGTTCTCCATTTCATTATCCCACCAAGAGTCTGGTTTGCACGGATTTGTCAGTCCAGCAGACCTGTTCTATACTCTTAACACCTACCATTAAGCCCAAGCAGGAGTTTACCGTCATTAACACTCACCATTTGTTCCACTCGTTCTTCCTTCCTCTCTAATCAACGACATTTACAAAAAAAGAACTATTTTCCAGGCCCCCACCCCGTTCTGAAGAACAATTACATCGGACGCAAAATATTAACTTTTTTTTTCCTCTGTTCGGAAATGCTGTCAAACGTAGAGTTTCTCCAGCATTTCTTTTGATTTCAGCTCCTTCACCAACATGGCACCTAATGCTGGTTGGCAGGGGAACCGGGGTCCTTTTTAACTTCACTGCGCGTCTAGGTGTGACGCCCGATCATATCCCTGTAAAAGTCATGTGATTTTAAAAACACATTAATTAAAACTCGCCGATTCTCCCGTGGCGGTTTCCTGGTTCACACACTAGTATTATAAAGAAGAAGACATTGCCGAATCGTCGCGAGTATTTGAGAGGGCTGTGTTTCCCAAAAGGCGGCAGCGGGGACAAGGCAGCCTGGGTCCTTCATGACCTCTACTCGTGGTAGAGGTTGAGCTATGGCGCCTGTTGGTTACTTCGAGTCGGTTTATAGCCGTGGCGGGGCTTTATGAGCGTTGCTGGGGGGGGAGAGAAGGCTCGTTCTGGCGGTCTGTTCGTTGATCCTCCTGCGGTCGGATTGTCCGACAACATGGTGAGTGCGATGGTGGCTGCGGGCCGATTAGTGTCTTCTCCCTCACTTGCTCAGCCGGGGTCCGAGAGCCGGAGATGATGATCGTTCTTGGCCTGTTTCACGGTGGGATTAAAAAAACCAACCAGGATGGCTGTCACATTTAATTCCAGGAAGGAGACTGCGGGGTAGGCCCCGTTTGCCTCATTGCCTGGGGAAACCAGCTATCTTGTGCCTGTGCAAATCGTGTTTTTTTTAAAATATATTCTGTCACGCCTGTAATAATTCCCGATAAATAAATCGTCTGGATTTGTTTCCGGCTCATGAAATACTTGAGTCTGTTATGTCACATCCTAATCCCTATCGTCTGTGTACAATCAGCAGGCAGGCATATTATTGTCTGAGGTGAGGCTCTCTTATTGTACAAAATACCGCAAGTTTTTGTTTTTACGCTTGTCACATCCAAAGAGAACTGAAAGTTGTTTCAAATATGGACGTTGAAGTTAAGACAATAATTGTTTATATAGCTAGAACTAGATTCCATCTGTTTTATATGCTTAAGTATATTATGATAGTGGAATAGTACAGATGTTAAAAATGGCTGACTTTTTTAAAAAAAAACGGTCAACACTGTCAATACCTTGCTTGATTACTTCCAGGGATTAGTGATTTTTTTTTTTTGATGCAAAGCTTTTTTGATCAGGAAACAAATGAGTAAAGTAGAGTCTAGAGTAGGGGAAATTGGACTGAATGTGATTGGGGTGGTTTACCTTCTGATCCATTGGGGTGAATGATTGCTTTATGCTGTGATGTTTCAATGTCTGGTTCCAATTTGAAGGGGATTAAAGCCTGATTTCCTCCTCCTGTATGGCTGTTAACCCTTCTGAAAAATTACTCATTTAAAAATAGTTACCATACATATTGAGTGTTTCATTGTACAGCATATCTCTAAACACTTTAAAGACTAATAAAGTTCCTAATGAAGCAAAGCCAGAGACTGGAGAAAGTACTTAAGATTAATGATCTTTCATCTGATTTGGATATTAACAGTTTCAGTGACCTGTAATACAAAAGCAAATACAAGATTGTGTAAGGGGAGGAAAGAACTTGTGGGTTAAACTGAGGTGTTCAGGCCAAGGGATCATCCAGGTTGCATTTAGGCTTCCCAGTGTACAGGGGAACTTGCGTTGTAGACTAAGAGCATAAAGTGCTAACTTGAAAGAATTATAAATAATTCACTGTTTCAATTGTGACGTGTCTGGGTTCCTGGATGGTGGGAAGGTGGAAGGAAAAAGGACAAATGTTGCATTTGGTGTACATGTATGGTGGAGGGGGAGATTGGAGTGCTGTGGGGAAGGGAGTGGGTTTTAGCAGTAATTGAAAATTTGATTTATTGTCTTGTGTACCTAAGTGCAATGAAAAGCTTTGCAAGGACATGCAGATCGTAGAGTGACAAAAAACTCAAGAGATATACAGGTTACGTTGCATGTGGCCTGCGCTATGCAGTATCAATATCGGCAGGATTAGCATTATTTGATGTTAGAGTCCATTCATCAGTCTAATAATGTTCCTGAACCTGGTGTGTGTGTGTGTGTGTGTGTGTGTGTGTGTGTTCAAACTTCTGTATCTTCTGCCTGACTTGAGAACCAGCCTTGTTGAAATGCCAAAAGGAGAAGGAAAGATGTGTTTGGTGGAGATAATGCTGGAGATATCAGAAATCACTGAGGATGGTCCACTGAAGGAGACTGATGGGCTGTTTGCTGATGAAAAATAGAATGTTTATTAGATTTAGAAATCAAGCTGTGAGGGCAGGATTGTGAGAAATGGGATTAAAATGCTTGGCCTTCCTGTCAACTACAACAGTATTGCATCCTTAGTTGAGGAAAAGGAAGAATATTGGAACTACTGTTATGGAAGGTGACATTATTGAGCAAATATAGCAGGGGAAAGATACCACCTTGGAACAGATGGTGAGAAGAGAGGGCTGTAGCTTTGTAGTTGACACAAAGTAAGCTATCCATCTAGTGGCACTATGTAAGAATGGTAATGCAACAAATTCCATAAATGTGTCAGGAATTTGATCTTGACACTAGAAGGAAAATAAATATGAATGCATCTAAAAGAACCATGTTGATATGCATCTAGCTTGCCTGAAATTCATACTTTTGTAAACTAAATGTCTTAACGTAAAAATTTGGATTTAACTATCATATCTTCTGGGGCTGAAGCAGTTTCCCAGAAGCTGACAGTTTGCATGTAATTCTGATTGCAAGCCTACACATGGCAAAACTGTATATGTATCCAATATTCTTTGAGTTCCATTTGCAGAAGAGAAAACGGTAACAATTACAAACGAAACCAAGTCATCCAAATTAAATTTGCGTCAATATTTACTTTCCATTCGTTATCCAACCTAATGCTGAATGACAACATTGTTTCTGTCTCAACCACAGATCTTGAAGGTGAACTCCAAAGTGCAACAACTGTATGCGCAAAAGACTTTATTTGGCTTGAAAACACTTGCGTTGAATGATGTAAAAATGGCCCCTCTTTTCTCCAGTTCAGAAAACAATTTTGTTTGTAAGCAGGTTATGTGAAAGATGCATTGAACATTATGAAATGTGTGTACTATGAAGAATAATCCAAACTCTCAAGGTCAAAGGCAGTTTAAGATTGCGTACGAAAGTTTGGATACTTTAGAAATCCTTTGGTCACTGAAATAAATTAATTTATTGTGAGATATTATCCAACCAATGGACCAACTTTTACCTGTGGTTCATCCTGATTTCTTTCCCTTCCAGGGTATTATAGGCGTGCAGTTGGTGGTTACTATGGTAATGGCCAGCATCATACAGAAGATCACACCTCACTACTCACTTGCCCGCTGGTTGCTTTGTAATGGAAGGTATGGGGAATATTTTTAAATAGGATGTGATCAGACTGATGTTTTAGCATTTGCAGCTTATGTTCATATATCATTTTAGGTCAAATGATCTTTTTGTCACACTAATGGACTTCATATAAGAAGGACTTTCCTCATTCAGTCAGTGTTTTTATTTATTCCCAATTAGATTACTGCCTACCATCTCTGAATAGGGAAAGAACTCTGTTCTTTTAGAACGTTGGTATAAGATTGACTTGGATGGAGGTCAGGAAATCAAAATTTTGCAGATGTTCAAAATCTAAAACAAAGCTTTTGAAGCACTCAGCAGGCCAGACAAATGGCTATCAAAAGCACAAGTTGACAGTTCGCACTTGCTTCCTTAGGAACACGGGGTTCTGCTATAACATGATAGATGCATTCCTGTAAAATGACATGTTATAGAAAATCACACTCTAGAAATAACAACAGTTCCTATGGGAAAAGGGGGGTTAGGAGCAGATTAACAAAAAAAAAATCACTCAAAAGGATAACACAGTTTGAACAAATATTTAATTCACGTGAAATAACAGTAAATTTATCACCGTATCTTGAAAAAAATGTCAAGATGACTTGATGGCAGGGGGGTGAAGGTTCTTGGGTACCTTTGTTGTTAATGCAGAGCTGAGGGTTGTCATCATTATCATCATCATCATTACCTTCAGGTGCAGTTGTGGTTTGCAGGATTCAGGTGAAAAATAGTTAATCCAGAAGTGGTTCATTTGTCTTCTGACTGTTTCTTGGGGGTTTACATAAAGAAGAAATCCAGTTTTAGCTGCTTTGCCCTCTTTCTTTGTTCATGAAGAAGCAGTTCACAGGTTACCAAAGAAGTACTTACTTCACAGACTGCTACCCTGCCGCGTTCTGTATTGTAATCGTTGTCCTCTAATCATTGCAGCTGCTTCTCAATTTCCTTCAGGATAGAAGACAAAACAGAAGTGGAAAGCTCTTGTGGTGGTGCATCCTGGACTACTACTACTTCATCCCCAGCTTCCACTTCCCCCTCGGTGACAAGTTGTTGTAGAGAGGTCTTCACAGAGGGACTCAAGCATGTCTTCAATGTCCTCACTCTCCACTTCTTCAAATCCAGCTTGCTTTGCAAGATCAATACAATGTTCTTTGGTTCTTGGGAACTCCTCTGATGGATTAAAGTCTCTTTAAAATCTTAAAGAATCTGGGAGAAGCTTCTGCCGAACTGTATGCAAGCAGTCCTTATTGGCGTCACCCAGGCCTCCATGATAATGTCAATTGCATTCTTGATGTTAAAGCTGTTCCAAAATTGAAGAACACTATCCTTATCTCCCTCAGTGGCTGCAATCAGCCTCTTAAATGTATGCCTTAAATAATAAGCTCTGAAAGCTGCTATTGCACCCTGGTCCATGGATTGAAGGAGAGAGGTTGTGTTTGGTGATAGAAATAGCACTTTGATGTTTTCAGAAAGCTCACCAATGGTCTAAGGATGACTTGGCGCATTATCCAGGATGAGGAGAATCTTGAAATCCACGTTTTTTTATTTTCCTGCAATACTTTCTAAAAACATCAACAATAAGGTTAGAAAAAATTGCCCCGTCATCCAACTCTTTTGCTTGACCTAAAGTAGATACCTAGAGTAGACTTAAGGTAACATTTCAAGGCTCCTGGGTTGGCAGTGTGGTACACTACCACAGGCTTAAGTT